GAAAAATTTAATACTCTCGAGGAAAAACGAAATCATCGCTATAGATGGCGCTGTGTGTATATGTCACATAGGCTACTTTTAATCCTTTTGTGACGCGAGAGAAGCCGCGGGTAAAAGCTAGTATTCAATAATTAGGTACCTATCTTCGTTATTAATCGATGTCAGAAAGAGTTTTTCTATGAAATTTGTGCAAAATTTTGAGTTCGTTATGACGTAATTTTAATCGTTAAATAGTTACCTAACATATTTTTTTTTGTAAGTAGTAGCTATCAAAATAATGCGATAATCAAGTACCTAGAAACAATTTGTTTTTGACTAAACAAACATACTAGACTTGTTACCGATGTCGCTTGACATATTTTTTTTTTTAAGGGGGGAAAATCATCGATTGGCTGCTCCCGCCCGGGTGAGGCGGGAGGGAGTGTCAGACTCTTACTGACTAAAAACCACCCCGTTCCTTCTCCTGCACGTCGAGCCGGAGCCCCGGTTACCCGTTAGGTTCTCCGCGACCGCTTGACATAATACGGTGACAACGCGCAACTTATGTCCACAGTGACGTTATTGTTGCCAGACATCGACCAGCGTCCGGCAACGTCGCGCCACTTCACTTGACGTCGCTGGTGACACATGTCGCAGGACATTCGTCCCCTAATGTATCCTTGGCTTAATCATACGATATTTGTGGAACAAAAAACAAAACCACATGATGTCCTATATAGTACCTATTGTTTTAATTTCGAGATAAAAGAAATGGTGTCAATCAGTCACAATGGACAGGACTCCTATGACACCTCTTCTAGTCGGTAATTACTTAGTCACATCATCAAAAGACCATGACAGTCCACTGATAGACTATGGGCCTCTACATATGAAAGAGGAGTTAATGGCTTCTTTTAATGGTGGACATTTATCGAATGACTGCTCCCGCCTGGGTGAGGCGGGAGGGAGTTTCAGAGTCTTACTGACTAAAAACCACCCCGTTCCAACTCCTGCACTTCGAGCCTGAGCCCCGGTAACCCGTTAAGTTCTCCGCGGCTCCGTATGGTTATTAGCCTTATTGGGCCCCATCCGTAGTGGTCTGATGGCTCTTTGAGGCGCGCACGGAACGCGACGCGCCGTACGCTCGGGTCTGGTTCTGGTCTGGTGGTTTTTTTATGGTATAAGCCGGTAAACGAGCAGACGGATCACCTGATGGTAAGCAATTGGCGTTCCCCATGGAGACCTGGAACACCAGAGGCGTTACAAGTGCGTTACCGGCCTTCTGGATTAGGATTTGTGGATTGTTGGGGATTCAGGGATTGGGGAAAGGGGGGGTAATTGGGCCTCCGGTAACCTCGCTCACACGACGTTGTTTCGCAGGGCATTTCCCCACTGTGTGTTCCACCGTGTACTCAGGGCGGTCCTCGCAGTGATGACACCCGGGCTTTTCAAGAGGTAATGGCTTGGATATCCATCAGCTGTATGGCTGTTTAAAGTCAAAGTCAAAGCATTAACTATCTATTTGAGTTAGCTAATCCTTAATTAGACACTTTTGAAATGTCAAAAATTGAATTGTGCGTCCGTCTGTCTGTCAGTGAAGATAGGTGCTCGTTGCAAAGTGTAGTTTCGAATGGAGAAGAATGAGCAGGAAACTCCATCGTTCCTCTTTTAAAAAAAATATTGTTACAGTCTCATTGATACATTATCTGATCCTTTACCTATTGTAATGTGTGAGAACGATGTAGCCATTATGTTAATTGCAATAGATAGGCATAAGGCATAATAAACATAGGCCACGGTAACCGCTTACTATAAGGTGGACCGTGTGCTGCTTTTACCACCGTCTTGGTATAAAAAAAAATGACCTCTGACAAATGTGGAGTCTCTTAGTGGCCTTAGTTAGCTCCTAGAACTCCTGTATCAGTAGTAGATGTGGTGTAGCATACATACATCCTACTTTGTCATCATATTACATCACCCTCGCATTGAAAATAATAGTTATGGTGACATTTTTTATGGGACAACCTGGTAAGCGAGCAGACGTATCACCTGATGGTAAGCATTCGGCGTCGTCCGTGGACACCTGGAAAACACTTTTACAAGTGCGGGACCGGCCTTTTGGGAATTAGGAATTTGAGGATTCGGATTTGGTGGGGGGGGGGGGTCGTAATTGGACCTCCGTTAATCTCACTCACACGACGAAACACAACGCAAGCGTTGTTTCACTATGGTTATTCTGTGAGGCCGTGGTATCACTCCGGTTGAGCCGGCCCATTCGTACCGAAGCATGGCTCACCTACACTTATACTAAAACTACACCTTTGCATACACATAATGTATTAAGCTAAAAATGTTAATAATACTATGCCCCATTAAGAGATGGGAGTCAAGCGCTATATTCTTCGCTTGTAAGCAAGAACCACATACAAGGCAATTATGTTATTAATCCTAAATATCTGAGATGCATTGCATTTTGAACAGACCACAGATAATAGCTCTGAGTTGCTGGAAGGAATTTTGCTTTAAAAATAGGGGATAGTTATAATCTGTGGGTCACAATTCCTAATTTGATTTTGATACAGACTAGATCTATAAGCAGAAAAACTGCTTTATTCCAATAGTGTAATATTTTGTCAGGAATTAACCCATTGTTTTTTTTAAGGGGGAAAATCATTGAATGCCTGCTCCCGCCTGGGCGAGGCGGGAGAGAGTGTCAGACTCTTACTGACTAAAAACCACTCCTGCACTTCGAGCTGGAACCCTACCCGTTAGGTTAGGTTCTCCGTGGCTCTGTAAGGAATGAACCCATAAGAATACAAATATTGTATGCTTAACTGATCAATCCCTAAACGGTCACCAGTGACTGCTCTTTCACTAAAACCATTATAGATCTTATTTCAAGTGTTTAGAGACTACAAATAATTTTGGAGATTCATATCAGGTGATTGTGTTGAGTGGAGTTCAGCTTATATCTTTTGAATTCGCTTTGTTGAACAACTATTTCTGGTTATCGAGCCTTAAAGCACATGTAGTCAAAGCCATTTAAGTATTTCATGTATAGATCAAAAAGGCAGTCTTGAGTTTCAACAACACAAGTGAAGCTATTTGCTCATTCCAAGGTATAGATTCCTATGGAGAAGAATGAGCAAGAAACTCCATAGGTTACTCTTTTTCAATCATGTTAGCAATACAATTCTTTAGTTACTGTTGTAGTCAAGTTGACTAGAAGATCTACAATTAATTGATTCCGTATTATGATTTTACCAATGAAATGGACTGTCTTCATCATACAATATTACAATTTGGTACTAAGCAGACAAATGTTATCATCAAAATCACATAACACAACACCTTTTTATCCACAAAAGAGTAAGTAGAGGTGCACATTACGGCACTTAACCCATAAATCACCAAGCGGTCACCGGTGACCGCTTTCCACTAATATTACATTACATTATAGACCTTATTTGTAATGTTTAGAGACTACTTTTGTATGACCAAATTTAGGGGATGGATTTCAACGGGTTAATGCCACTGTACAATGTAACACCCACTTTTCACTATTTGTGTTATGAGTCCCATGTAATAGCCTATTACCATATACTGGTAACAATTCCAGACTCCATGCTACTACTGAGATTTATTAATTAAAAACCCCGTAATACTCTGCCTGACCCGGAATTAGAACCCGAGACCCCTTGGCCAAGGCAGGCCAGGCAGTCGCACTTGTGACAACTCAGCCAAAGAGGCAGTTACATCAAAATGATGTCTCAACTATGCAAAAATAATCATAACAGATTTGCATCCTGACAAAAGAGACATAGTGCAAAAAGTTCATGTTTTCATATTCATCTGCGCATAATGGACCTCCTACCAACCTCTTTGGAGAAATAAAGTGAGAAGATTTATATGTTTTTTATTGATTTAAAAGTACTTAATCATTATAATGTCCTTGTAACCTGTATCATAATTACAACAACAAATAAAGATAGGTACTTGTTATAACTAATTAGAAAAGTATGACCATTTCTTGTTTACTTTTTTCATCCAAAGATAATTTTATACCTTATAAGAATAACCAAGGAGATTCTAATAAGAACTAGAGTATTTTTTTAATATGACAACCATAGTGTTATGTAATAACAATATGTCAGGTGTCTATGTAAACACATAGTTTCAGTAAGTTTGTTTACTCATCATCATGAACCATTCTCAGAAATGGCTACACAAATTCTGATATAGTGTCAAATTTTCATAAGACAATGGTAGGATACACAAAGAATGTGACTATCAGTATTTCAGATAGTATCATGAGTATGTTTTCTGTTGTTTTAGATAACTTATCTACTACTAACTGACTTTGTCCCTAGAAAATCGATTCACTTTGAATAAGTCGACAGATTGTAGTCGACACTCGCTCCATACCGTACACAGTACGCATTTAACAAAATAGTACCAGCAATAACTCTGTAATTGATCAACTGAACATTGAATGAACACATCAATTGATAATAATTGACGCAAAAAACAATTGTACAAAAGATTGCTGAAAAATAAATCATCCATTCCCGCCATTTTGGAACCTCAATTAAAAAGTTAAAACAATGCAGAGGCATAAAAAAGTAAAATTCTACATTTAAAAATGTTTTTCACGATTTTTTTTCTCAGTATAAACCGACTGATTGGAAAAGTGTCGACATGTTAGCCGGTTTAATAGTAAACAATGTACAATCAAACTGGTTTGTTTAATGTTATTTTTTTAACAAACACGTTCTCGCCCCTCATACATCAGCTAGTTGTAGATTAAAACGGGTTATATTGTAATGTTTGCCAAACCTGACCGCTGCGCCGACGAAAGGCTTTGGACGAATGGAAAAAAACCACTTAGCACAACACGAAAATCGCGCACTGCACTGCTGAGATCGCACTTACACCTCCGGAGACACTTTACAAACGTGTAATACAGGAATGAAACACTAAAACCACAGTGATACGCGACATTACGACAAAAGGGTACGCACCTTAGTCTTAGTAATAATGTGTGTAGCGAGTTTTACAACAGCGAAATTCCCCGTGCCAATCGTTTTCTCCAGCTCGTAATTGCCAACACACACGAGCTGGTCTATCGGGAAGTGTTTGCTTTTGTGCATTGGCTTCATATTGCTGGCCATTTCGTGAGAAACTTGAAGTAATTCGCTCAGCCTCACATTACCCACCGAGCGAAATTCGTCTACTGGCGCTAGTTCGCGCCGACTGCCGCAATGGCGCCACTGTCACTCACGTCATTCGCTTTGGGATGTTCATGTGCGCCCCTCGATGTTTCATTAACAAAATCTATTTTATTTATATTAAATTCACATTTTCACGCGCGACACTGAACGAAAACACAATGATTTTAACTGGCCATCATGATGATGTAGCCACGAATGTCAAACAGGTGTTGACAGACGCTGTTATCAGTGTTTCTCTTATCAATACGTAGGGATTCAATTGAACAACACAGGCTCATGAAAATAAGAACTCGATTCACAACCTTTACGCGACTCGCGCTGTCTCGCTCTATGTAATTCATGTGTCTAACGTTAGAAAGAAATAGGTAGAGAGATCTCCGTCAGGCGGGAGGCCGCGTGACGTCATTAGGCTCGGCTGACGTCACACGCGGCAATTTCAAACTATAGTCAGAATTTTAATTAGATTCCAGATTTGACAATAGCTACTGTCATTTTGTGAAATAATGATACCACATAAAATAGTGTAGTGATGAACACAAAAATCGATAAACAATCAGTGTGTGTGTTTTATAATAAATGTTACAGAAAGTGACAGGATAGCGATAGCGATGACGGCGACAATTTACAAAATAACTTATTACCATAATACATCTATCTGTTTTATTTGTCATGTTCCTTCATGATTGCATTTTTTTATTTATTTCACACACAATTATAAAAGAAAAGTCTCAGATCGTTAATTAATCGTCAAAACTAATTTATCGGTTTAGAAATATTTAATTTCCAAAAATACTTAGTATACGAGAGTAAAATTATAAACATGAAGAATCGATCCAGAAATATTGCATTTCCATATCGAATAATTTCGCAACGTCACTATTTAGTACTTGTCATAACGTTGCAACACTGAAATTGTCAAATCTGGAATCGAATTAAAATTCCGAGTATAGGAGACGGTGTGGGGTGTACGTCAGTAGAAAATATCGATTATTCTTATCGCTAAGTGCAACTTTTACTTAAAAAACGCTATTATATCTCATGATGGACATTGACAAAATGTCAATTTCGTTAAAATAAGATATCTTTCAAAGAATTTCAGTGCGCAATTTAAGATTTATGAATGTTCATTCAAGTGAATCTGTATTATAATGAAACATTGATTCATACTCTCTCGTTAGAGCGGAGTTTTTCATGTCGGGCTACAGTCAAGCATGAATCCACTTAATGGCAATACGTTTTTTGTAATAGAAATCAGTAGAAATGTAGCGTTTTTGCTTAAAGAACGCCTTTTAAAATTCAAGGTCTTGTGTTATCGACGTTATATGTATTGCGTAGTAGATATGATCTATTAGATTATGTATTCGGGAGGAGATAACTGGGTTTCTATAATACAGGCGCCATTCATTCATTGATGGCCTTATCTAAGTCGGAATCTGTATCGATTATACGAAAATTGTAAATAACGCCATCTGTTGCGTTAAAAATGTAAACTGTTGGAAAATTTTCCAACATGGTGTTTGTTTTGGTTCGAGTACGAGCGACATCTATGAGGTTGTGCAAAAACTACAAAGAATGCCTTGCTTGCATACCTGTGGCATAAACAACAAGATAAAAAAAATGCTTGTTTGTATTATATTTACTGTAAAATCCTATTTTCGTTTATTTGGAGTCATCCAAGTACCTACTTAGTTCTATTTTATTTGATAATAAACTAGCTTCTGCCTGCGAATTCGCAATCCCGTTTTCTCCCCTTCCCGTAGGATTTTCAGGTCTTTTTTCTGTCATAACAACCTTCTAATAATAACAAAAAAAACAAACTAGAATTAGTGAAATCGATCCAGCCATTCACTTGTGATGCCGTGACCAAGGGAAAAGGGGATACATTCATTCATTTACTAGCTTCTGCCCGCGAATTCGTACGCGCTATCCCGTTTTCTTCAATTCCCGTAGGATTTACAGGATTCTTTCTGTCATAAGAACCTTCTCCAAAAAAATAATTAGTGAAATCGGTCCAGCCATTCATACATGTTGCCGTGACCAAAGGAAAAAGGGAACTACATGGTCGTCCTCTTCATACCCTGCCTACAAACCATTATAAAGACTAGGTCTATCTATAATCTAGACCGCTAGTTATTACTAGTCTAACTAGAACTTGGTACCTACAATACTTTTCATAGTTTCTTAGAGCGCGTATCCCTTTTTTATCCCATGGGAGCATTTAATCGGGATAAAAAGTATCCTATCACATAAGTCAGCCCATGCCCTGCCTGTATACCAATGTTCATCAAAATCCAGTAGTTTCAGCGTGATTGACGAACAAACAGCCAAAGAAACTATCCCATTAAAATATAAGTGTGATGTTACAAAATAAAACTCAGTTAGTTTAGAATTAATATTTATTGTTACTGTAAATATTAGTTGGGAGGAAGATTTGACGAATACATTCTCTACTCGACCCCAGCGCCCTCTGTGGCATCAGGTGCCTGGAAAAAATAAAAAAAACCTTAAATTTTTATACATCAACAGTTCATTGCGCGGTGTCTGGGCAACCGGCTGCCAACAACTCTTTGTGTGATCTACAGATTGTTGTTCCAGGTCTGGGTGTCATGTGTATGTGATTGTGTATGTTGGTAAACGCACCCAGGATACATTAGAAAATCCTAGTGAGGGGCAAGTAAGAGCGCTTGGCAGAGCTAATGATAGAAGTTTAAAGCGTCATGTTTTTCAAGATCGCAGTTTTTTTAGATAAGGCCAATGTTATATTTCCTGAAGGGTATAACCTGGATGTCTTTAAACTGTCAAACACCAAGCGGTCACCGGTGACCGCAACCTATTGTTCTATAATTGTGTCTATAATGACGGTACTCGACGAGTTAAGGCTCGAGTGAATAGGTTGCTTATGGGACGACGTGCTCCATCGTAGACCGCATCAACGTGCACCACCAGGCAAGATAGTGGGTAAGTAAAAAAATACTTTTTAGCTATATTAAGAGCGTATTCGTTCTTAAGATGCCAGCACCGCATTTATGACTGACTGTTGCTGGTGTCCATGGGCTGGTGCTGATTTGTTACCGTCAGGTGTTCTATTTGTTTGTTTTCTTCAAAAAAGGACATTATTATCAAAGACATTATTCAACGTACTGCTTCGTTGGGCGAGAGGTTGCAAGTACGACTGCCGGGTAAGAGGTCTCAGGTTTAATTCCCGGGTCGGGCAAAGTATAACTGAGGTTTTTAAAAATTCTCAGTATTAGTATGGAGTCTGGAATTGTGTTCAGTATACGGCAATAGACTCACCCCCTATTACATGGGCCTCATAACATAAATAGTGAAAAGTGGGTGTTACATTGTACGGTGGTATTAAGTGTCGTACTGAGCACCTCTGTGTACCTAGACAACAGGCGCGATGCAGAGTCCCGTCCCGGTGCGCGCTAGGCAGTGAGCAGGTCGGGCGCGGCGCGCGCCAGCAGGTCGGCGGCGCCGGCCACGGCCACGCACCAGGCGTCGAGGCGGCCGGCCAGCGCCGCCGCGCCCGACCGGGGCAGCGCGCGCGGACGGACCCAGCCTATGTGCGCTGTACTGTTCACCTGGGGAGGGAAAAGTTAAATTTTTTTTTGTTTTTTTTTTTGTTTTTTTAAACGCGGTTTACTCACGTGAATATACTAAGAAAATCTCTACTAGTAGTGGTCGCTGCGACCGCGCACGCCGCTCATGAGGAAGAACCCCTCTGTGTTTCGAAACTAGTAGAGCTTTTCTCAGTGTATTCACGTGAGTAACCCGCGATTTTACTTAATTTAGTATGTCTCACGACACGATAGTTATTATAAAAATCATGCAACGTGTCGCGTGGTTCGACGTAGTTCGATTCCCGCACAGAACAACTGTTTGTGTGATCCACAGATTGTCGTTCCGTGTGTGTCTGTATGTGAACTTGTATGGTTGTACACGTACACACGACACAGGAGAAAATCTTAGAAATATAGTTCTTGCATAGAATTTAGATTTCTCTCGAGTAGGTTCCACATTCTTGCAGAAATTTCAAGTCAAATAGTATCTTGTGTTACAAACTAAAGCATAGATTTTCTAATGGTAAAATAATATGTTTTATTGAAATCAAAGCTACTTATTCCGCCGTCTATACAATGCAAATAAACAACAATTCATTACTGAATTTTCGCCTTTATATTATTATATTTTTTTATGGAATAAGCCAGTAAACAAGCTGACTGATCACCTAATGGTGGACACCCGGAATACTAGACGTTGTTACTAGTGCATTACTGACCTTTTGGGGATTAGGAGTCTGAGGATTGTTGGGGATTTGGGGGTTGCAATTGCGTTGTGTTTAGAGAGTTCTCATACAAAATTCATGATTGATGAACATAACATAACATCACCCCTTTTATCCCCGAAGGGGTAAGCAGAGGTGCACACAGAAGTAACACCCACTTTTCACTATTTATGTTATGAGTCCCATGTAATAGGGGGTGAGCCTATTGCCATATACCGGGCACATTTCCAGACTCCGTGCTACTACTGAGAATTAGTAATACTACTGAGAATAAGTAATACTTTGCCCGACCCGGGAATCGAACCCGAGACCCCTTGCCCGGCAGTCGCACTCGCGACCACTCGGCCAACGAGGCAGTCGATTGATGAAACAACTCAAATTTCTATCATAAATATTATAGTTGTCAAATTTTAATCAATTTGATTTGAAAACATCACTATAATACAACCACATCATTTCGTTTAAATTCCAGTTGGGTACCTTCCGTAATCAAAAATAAATTATTTCAACAGTTCAATAAAATAAGACATTAAAAAATAATCACACTTTCGTTAATTGATTTTATGACCAACTTCATTGTAGTATTTTCCAGCAAATTTTTATGTAATAAGTATGCTGTTTAACGCTAAAAAAATGTGACGTCATAATACACATACATACATAACTTCACGCCTATCTCTCATTGGGGTAGGCAGAGACTATGGAACGCCAATTACTACGAATCCTACAAACCTTTTTTACTTCATCAACAGTCATCAATCTTTTCATGCATGCTCGTTGGTTATGGGTACTTTTATAATTAGGCCCTTCTTTAATAAAAAGTCAAACTTGTGAATAGATGCCCGTCTAGGGCGCCCTCTACCGACGGCCCCATTCATATCCGCTCTGTATACTTCTTTCGTTACTCTACTTTCATCCATCCTTTCTACATGTCCAAACCAGCGAAAC